ACACACACACACACACACACACACACATACCTGCACTGCTGTAAATCAAACCACCTGTTTAGGATGATGAGGATGATGATGAGGACGAGGATGAAGATGATGGGGATAATGAAGATAATGGGAATGAGGATGAAGAAGAGGATGATGGTGATGAGGATGATGATGAAGAGGCTGAGGATGAGGATGGTGACATCTGGTGAACACTTCACAGCCACAAACTCTTGAAGAAACATTGTCTTTGATTATATTTGATGACAAATAGAAGTCCCACTGTTATTGTTGTGTGGTACACTCAGTGTTTTACAGTCAATGATGAATATTCAAATAATATGCTGCAGAGAGTTACCAAGAACTTCAACATGGTAGACTGCTGTGTATTTCCAATTTACTATTGTAACCACGCCCAACCAAACTTTATTCCATTAACTCAACTGCAGTATATATTTATTCTTAAAGTCTTGATGTACATGGCTCAGTAAACATTGGAGCCCTTTTTAGACTCACTCAATTATTCAAATGTTATTAGGTGTAACATCCTCTGTCCGTAAACCTGAACAAGTAAAAGCTTCAAAACACAACAACCCAAAAACCTTTTATCAGGGGAAGAAACAGAGACATGAGTGACAGAGAGTGACACGTGAGGGATCCCTCTCCCAGGACAGACAGAGGTTAAGTAGATGTCAAACAGAGCACATCTACAAAATAATAATATTTACAACTTCCATTAGAAAAGACCGTGTCTAACACAAATGGAGAGGTGGACGAGATGAATGGGAGCCATGCATACTGTAATGACAGTGGCAGTAATATATGTGTGCAGGTATATTGTATATCTGAGCAAAGTTATTCTTCTGACTGAAATATGCATTGATTTGTGTTGTTGAAATGATGCAGTAATCACTGTCAATACTGGTCATACATGCTCACAGAGGCACGTTTCATTATTGGATTAGTCCTCCATACAGCAGCTTATTCACTGATTACTTGACCGCACAATCATGGCCTCCTGCAGAAGCAGACTTTACTTGTCTGCTGCCTTTATTCACTGAAGAAAGTCAACTGTGGAGGCCGGAAACTGACTCGATCATCAGTAATCGTTAAAAATATACAGATGTATATGAAAGCTGAGATAAATAAGTCATAATAACAATACATTCATAAAGAAAGAAATGTTGGAGATAAAATAAATATCTGAAAATGTACTCTACGAAGCTCCAATTATTTATCTCTCTATTTCAATATTTCTTCATTTATTTATATCTGTATTTCTGCATCTATGTCAGTGACAGTTTGACTATAGCTCTCTCTCTCTCAGTGACAACAGTCAAACATTGACATCCTAAAATCCATTATTTAGCCATGAGGCAGTAAGTGGTCTATATTTCTTTCTGTCTTGGCTTCATTTTGACAAAGCTTTGCTACAACGATCGCCTGTGATATGAAAACTGACCCTGTAGGATGTACACCAATCAATTCTGGACAAAAAGTGACTGGGTCAAAAGGAAAACAAAAGATGATCTGCTATAAGCCCTGTAGCCTCAGAGTCTGGTTTCTACACTAACGTGTCATTCCACCATCTGCTTGCACTATAATTAATCCCAAGTGTCACATTCTGTGACCAAAACTAAGCTCAAATATACATGTAAAGAAAAGTTCCACGATTTTCAGCATCAAGTCAGCAACAAAACATTAGTTAGCCTGGGTAAGAAGCCACAGGTCCTAATGGAAGACATGGTTTCATATCACTCTTTACAGAAATCTATTTTATTCTATTATTTAGTCATTGAGAGTGTATCAATTAAAATCACACTGAAATTAAGAGCCTCATGTCGACCAACAGACACAGACAGACAGTGGGCTGGTCGTCATTCACTTTGGTCTCTATCTTCCTAGTTCAGAGCTTCACTTCACTTCGGTAATAAAACAAGAAGCAACCATTGGCTTTCACATGTTTCTGGTCACACTGAATTAAAAACAAAGACACAAACATAAAATGAAGTGGGAGACAAAGACAGTTTGAAACGACCACAAATATACAGTTTTATTGTCAGTCTCACAAATATTAGCTAAACAAAATAACAGCTTCTTTTAATACCGATGTAAACAAAATTATTCCTTTGTCTTTGNCAGATATGAACTTATTTTCATGTGGGAATTCTGTTCAAAGAAGAGTTTTAATAAAGGCTCTGACAGTGCAACAGTAACATACTGCCTTCAACACAGAACGTTATTTGTTAAGTGTGATTAATTATCATTACATTCATTTACAGTTTTTTAAATAAACTTTACAAAACATTATTGTTGTTTAAGGAGCCTTGACAAAGTCAGATTAACGGCATCTTTATTAAACTGAGCAGTTAAGTGCACAAATCATGTCGCGGTGCTAATTTAACATCGTGGTGTGTTGCTTCTTATTTCCCAGTTTGTCCTCGTTCATTTTAATCTTTAAATCAAATACGGACTCACAAACAGTAACAATTCACAGGACGCAGCCTTGTGTCGTTGATGTAGATGCGGGCAACAAAAGGGCTCCATGATCTTTTGGATATGTAACATTTTGGGGGAAAGGTGTGTAATCTGAAAATGTTTGCACATCACCAACATGCAAACATGTGGTTGAATAAGACTGGAAGATCCTGCTCCGCCAAAATAAAAGCACAAACAAAGCTTCCAGTATGGTCGATTAGTTTAGTGTTTGACAGCTGCCCGGTTTTAACCAGAAGCCCCGATGGACTCTTCTTTTGATTTCTGAGACACTTTAGAGTGAAGAGCCTGGATTCATTTAGTGTGTATAAATGTAAATAACATCTCCACGTGTGTTAAGACAATGATCATCCTCAAACCTACAACATTAATCACCCACCCAATGTAACAAAATGCCAGTGCACTGGTTCATCTTTATATAAAGCAGCCTACAACCCAACAGGCTCGTGATGAGCTTCCCTTTACTCTGTTACTATAAAAATAGCTTTGGGACAAGAAATATTCTCAAGGACAATTCATGTGAATCCTAAATTTGTCTGGTCCACGTCATTTCAGTATGGACCATTTGATCTGCTCCTTGGCTGACTGCAGTACCTAGAGACACAAAGCAAGAAAGAACATGTTATATAAGGTAGAACGATAGTAAAATATAACACATGAAACATAAAAATATAAACTGCATATGTTTGATTACTGTGTGAATTGATATGACTGTTTGCTGAATTAGAAGAGAAAATCTCATTGATCTGTATTCGTTAGTTTGGTTAAAAGATGCAACAGGAAACAAAGCAGCTTTGAAATACTTCTTTGATACATGATGTACTACAATGCATGAACTGTACATGTGAATGTGATTTTAATGACTTTATTCAAAGTACTGAGTATTTCATTGTATAAAAGTGCTATAAAATAATACTGTGCAACTGAATGCGCCTCTGCAGGTTTTTATACATAATATAATTTCAACTACACTTAGAAAGAAAAACTGATGTAATGCTGTTTGTTAACTTGTTTTTTTTATTATTATTAATGTTTAAGATTTCATGTTTGGAGTCAGTGCAGTGATTTCTATGAAGTGTTGCAGTATCATTATTGAAACACTAGAGGGCAGACATACAGTAGATAGTGCTAGTGTAACATGTAGCACCTGTTGCTGTACAAAGATAAAGTAAAAAAAAAAGTATATTATATTGTTATATTATATAATAAAAATGCAGCCATTTTCAAACAAATATGAGTTATGATTACTGTAGTACGTGAATAAATTAACTTTACCAGAGTAGAAATTGTACTGAGGGTAAATTCATAGTCAGCAGTCAACATTGTCAACAAACATGATAATTGTGAGATCATGACAACAACAAAAATGTCTTTTGAAGTCAGTCAGTAATTTCACTGTTGTATTTTAATTAGAATTTTATAGCAATTATATATATTTTATAGCATTTAAACATTATTCCCAGCAGTAACCAGAATCAGTTGACTGACTATTGAAAAGTGAAATAAATGCTGTCACTGTTAAACAAATAAATAATTATATTTCTCTCACAATTGTTGGGAGACATGTTCTTTTCATCAGTTTATTTGAAACATTTAACAACTATGTCCTAAATTAAAATGTTATTTTATTTTTATGTGGAGGCTGTTAATTTAAAATACAACAGAGAGACAGAAATGATCATCTCTGCACCCCCAGCATTGTTTCCACTGTTAGTACAGTTCTCGAACCACTTGGCCCACACCCAGACTGTTCAGCACTAAGGTTGTGCTCCCTCCTCGTTCTGACAGCAGGGGGCGCTTGGAGCTCAGGTACCAGGCTCTATCTGCTGCTCTGACTGACTCTGCAGCACATGTGTGCAGTGCTGTGGTCTGAGGCTTACTGCAGTTCTACATCATGTTATTTTCTATTACATACAGTGATCGTCTGGTTGTTTGTCTCTATATTAGCAGGATCATGCGAAAAACTCCTGAAGGCATTACTAAGAAACTTGGTGGAGGGATGAAGTCAGGACAGAAACCATTACATGTGTGGTGCAGATCTGTATCAGGGGGCGGGAAAGGAAGGAAGGACATTTTCTTCCTCTTTCTTTAACATTGTGAGAAATATGTTTACAAAATCAGGCATGTTAAGAGGACTGATATTTAGGGTGTTGGGCCTCAGTGGAGATATTCACTCTACAGCCGTCACTTTTTAATTTTCACTCATAAAAAAACGAAGAGGAGGAATGAGGATACAACTATTTGCATGTTCAGAGTCTGAAATCTCAGCATGCATCTGTAATGACACCAGTGACGGAACTACACAGCATTTCATGGTGCTTCAACAGTATTTTGCAAAAAATTTTTTTTGCACTACTTAAAAGCTTTGAAGTTACTTGACAGATTTAGATTTTGCATACATAAAATATGAGTTTATAAAATATAAAAGTGAGAAAGGTAAATGCTACTTACACTTTAATGCATCACTAAAAAAAAACAATGTTTTACTCTGAATCTAGTATTTTAAGATATAATAGTATGACACTTTTTACTAATGATATGTATTTTTAAGTGATTTTTTCAATTGAGGACTTGTAACAGATTATTAGAAATAGATATATGAACACTTCCTCCACCACTGATAGACACACAGTCCTGCAGTGCAGTATAACAATGCCTCTTCCTTGGCGTGTAAACTTCATACTGGCAGTTGTGTGTTTTTTGCTATGCAGCTTATGTGTTATAGAAAACAGCAAAAAGGGGAAACATTTGTCCCTAGATTTTGTTTCCTCTGGTTGTGGTACGCCTTCAAAACTGAAGTAAGCTCACCACAGATCAAATGAGAGTGTAACATAAAAGACTGCAGTCCTTACTCCAAAGTGTGTACTGACACTTATCTGTGGCCATTTGTAGCTGGATATAAGGAACTACACCTCTGAGACAGTACATTTATGTACATCATTAGTACATATGATAGGTATGACTGTGTGGAACTGGGTTGGTATGCCATGTTATACTTTATTCTACAGCAGTGTTTCTCAGTCTGCTTCCTTGTTGCTGCATATCTGCCACAAATAAATGGCCACTGTTGTCATCTCATGTTTACCTACATATAGACTAAATGAAAAGCTGTAAAAATTGCCCCAACCTTCCACAAGCTTTGACAGGCACTGCAGCGATCCAGTGTCATTTCATGCTTTTACTACAATAGACAAGTTTTGAAATGTAGCGTGGAGCTGTTAGTAGAAACTTACGTTAGAGGTCAGGGCCAGTTTCTCTGTTATGTGCTGTGAGGGTTAAAGCAACAGATAAAGAGAGGCTTAGAAGCTTGGGCGCACACACACACACACACACACACACACACACACAAACAAACACACACAAGTCCATGCACATGCTGATTCTTGCAAACAATCAGACATCAGAAAAACATTTGATTCAAGCAATGACTACAACTAGAGCCATAGTAAATTCATGTGTTTTGGCAGAAGAGGCAACTCTGCTTGAGAGAATGTTGATAAAACTATCTATTCTTTAACCCATCAATCAGTTCATTAACTATTGAGCCAGTTAGTTCTGTGCAGTGCTTTGCAAATGAAGCCTTGTTAGTTGCTACCTTAACGTGCATGGTGATCCACAGAGTTAGCATGCAGCCTGGCTAATGTGCAGAGAGATGTTGAACTGCTGCTAATTATTCTGTTTGTCTGTTTCTCTGATTTGTGAGAGTTAAGCTCCCTCGTGCAATAAGCGAATATCATCACTGGGAGGCAGGCTCACATTCGTGCACACACACAAGCTCTCGCCCAAGGGTGCGTGCGGTAGCATCGCTACTTCCGCTGATGTTGTCACGTGCCCCTTGGGCGAGAGCAAAGAGATGCAAGCTTGTGCGGTGTGTGCGCACGAATTCGAAAGTGACTCCACAGGAGAATAACTTTGGACTTTAATGCTTTAAATACAGTGTAAATTATGCAGTTTCTAGTCAAATATGAAAGTCAGGGCACCACAGGAGCAGTGTGGAGACATTTTTAGGGTTAGGGTTAGTAGAGTCCCCAGTTATTTCATTAGGATTGGATTTGGCTGCAACACTGTTTACCCCTGAAACTCCAAAAGTCTTTTGTGGACTCAAACACTTTACCCACCCTCCATTGGCAGAATGGTGAGTAGATAATGACTGAAATAAAAGTTTTTTCCTTTAATTTGCTTGCGAGAAACATGATAATAAGACTGTTAAAGCAATGAGAAAAAGTAGTCCGCTCCATAGTGAATTCATTGTTTCAAGTGTGTAAAGTAAAGGTTTGTGTGTGTGTGTGTGTGTTACCTGAGCAACGCTTTGTTCAGATAATGGGTTCTCATCCGCCTGCAAAACACAACAACATCGTTGGGTGTACAGAAGAAATGCAAAACCCATATAGAATGCAAACTACTTAATACACACAGACACACACACACACACACAGAGACACACAAACACACAAAATACCCAAGAGCAGCAGCACAAACACCATGACATACTGTAAGTCAGTGATATTAAAAGTGTGCTGGTTAGCGGTCAATCACTACTCATATTAGAGGTTTAGAATTTTAAGCCATTTATGTGATTTTTGTGGTTCAAGAGTCAACAGTGTTGTTGATCCACAAACTTAAATATCTCTTTTTAATATATTTGCTTATTTTCTTTTATTCGTGGTCCCCAGAGGATAAGACCTGAGCGATTTTGTGCTCTCTTGACTTTTCCTCTAGCACCACCTGTTGGTAAAATGTTTTTATATTTAAAAACTGGTTTTTTGCACCCCTCTGTTAGTCATCATGCTCTCTCACCATGCATTTACCTCATCTGTCTCGCCCATCCCTCCTTGGTCTCTCCACTGTCTCTGTCACACTCTCATTCATTCATGCACTCGCTTCACTTCACTATCTATCTCTTTGACTCTCTCTCGCTCTCTCTCACCCTCTGTCTGTCTGTCTACAGCAGCTGGCTCTTGTCTGTCTGTCCCTCTAGGTTACCAGTGATGTAATCAAACAGGACGAAGCCATAGGCTGGCTCTGACATTAGCTGACACCAATCAGAACAAAAGACACAGGGAGAAGGAGAGAGAGAGAAAGGTAAAGCAGGTAAGAGGAGGCCAGAAGCCAAAGAGAAAAGCTACAGAGTCTTCATTTAGTCTGCTCTGATTTTTTATATAATATAATACTTAATCTTTTTTTTTCATTTTGCATTGATCAACATAAAGAAGCCAACGGATATGACAGGTAAGTCAGAATAATTCACAGTCTTCTCACCCTGTAGTTGACCTTCTGTAGGACCTGCTGGGGGTCACTCTCCAGAATCACCCTGGCAACAAGATTAAGCAGACAATCAGACCCAGAGGTACAATAACATAAACTGAACAAATATTTTAAAAATGACCAACTCATTGATCTATGGTAAAAACAAACCCAAGCTTAGCTTACACAGTAAATTGCCATAACGTTTTTGCAGAGCGTATGTGTTGCAGAGGGTAAAGACAAAAACGAATGCACACTTGGACGTTTTCTCTTACCCTCCATCGATAATTTCATCCACAATTAGGAACACTCCCTCCATGTTATCCAGTAAGCATCTCCGCTCCACATTTTTCCTGCAGAAAAAACCAAATCAATTGGTCCCACCCAGTCCACAGTCTGCATCCCCATTAAGTTTTCACTTCTAGTACAATATTCTTCTAAATAGTTATTCCTCATAAGTTGATGTTTACTTAGAGGGACAGTTAGACATTTTGGGCACGGCGGTTATACACTCTTGCCTCATGTCTGCACTTTAAGTCCAAAGTTGGAGGCAGTAAATGGTCCGTCTAGTTTAGCATAAACACCAGAAACAGCCTGTATAAATAATAGCTCAGTAGTAAAAGTAATGAATAACATTGCTTGTTAATCCTACTTGTACTCTTTGTCCCAGCAATTAGTAGCAATCTTCATATGTTCTGGGATGCCATGTGTATGAAGCCTCTTAACTCTCTCTCTTTTCTCTTTTACCTCATTAAATGCTATAGGAGTCGTCGCCTGGATCCAGGGAGTTTGTGTGTGTGTTTTCGTTTTTTGTTATTTCCTTCGTTAATCTGTTTTATATAGTTTCACATTTTCTCAATAAAATAAAAGAGATTTCAGCTCTCTCTTCTATCAAAGATGCCTTTAAACAGCTCCAGAGCCTCCACACTCACATGTCTTCTTTGATAATTATACCATCACACTGAATTCAAAATACTGACTGTTAAAAAAACATGATACAGTGGTTGGATTTCTCGATTCACTTTTGCAGCACAAACAAATGTTTTCACCAGAATGTCATTGTAGCTACTTCGGCTATTAGCTAGTTGGTATTACCTGGCCAGTATGATGAAAAAACATTTTTAAACAGCCTTTAGAGACCATTTACTATTCATGCTGAAAATAAAGTTCAACAGCTTCATTGATTTTATATTGTAACACTAACATCTGCACATTATTCTGTCACCTTTCATACTCTAAGATAATATAATCACTGATTGTCTCCATCGCTCGCACTCTGCATTGCCACAGCATTGGTTCCCATAGCAACCACATCAGCCACGCTTTGGCTGTTAATGTTGCGGTCACATTGAGCGATCCCAGTGTTGAATTTTACATCAGTCTCAACATGAAGACTCATTATTTCTCTGAGAGGGGCTCTGGTAGTGTTGGTGTGGAGGAGTATGTGGGCTACCATGAGCCCTGATAGTGCCGTGGCCACACACATGATAAAAGCACTAACACCACAACAAGGCACAATGCATTGGTGAGCACTGTTTCATGTGTGTGTCATTGTCAGAACTATTCTGGATATCAACACTGTGAATTTCTGTGTAAGGAGCTGGACTTTTTTTTTAAGGTTTCGTGAGTGAACGTACCTGAGGATGTGACTGAGGGACTCAAACAGGCAGTTCAGCACTGACATCAGCATCAGCTACAGAGGGGAGAAAAGAAAGGTTTAAAAGGATTCTGACTTTACAGCTGCATTCATGAGTTCCTTTATGATCACTTGGGGGCGGAATTCAACAAACTAAAACGTTTGTCATCACATTTTAGCTTGTTAAGAAAATGGGGTCAGCAGAACAAACTAAAAACACAACAGATGCAGTATTTCCTTAAACACAAAAACATAAAAAACATGCTGGCAAACACTTGCCTATGTACACATGCTACAAACCCAGAACATAAATAGCATATCGTGTTCTCCCAATTTTAAGGTCCAGTGTGTCAGATTCAGCTGAAAGGGATCTATTGGCAGAAATTTTATGTAAAATAATCCTCATGATGTTTTCACTATGAATTGTAGTTTTCTTTACCCCAGAAAAGATCCTTTATATTCAAATACTTTATTTTTACATCGTGGGGACCCTCTCTACGGAGGCCGCCATGTTTTTTACATTAGTCCAGACTGGACAAACTAAACACCTTTTAAGTTTTTATGACAACTGAAGTTCAACACAGTTTCTTTTCATGTTTGGAAGGAGAGGGTGAGGTGAGGGGTGTTCAGCTGCAACATGCAACTTCAACACGAGATATCACAAAATTCTAAAGACTGTACCTTTAAGTAGTTAAGATACTCGTTCTCTTGTTAGCTCTATTTTGTTTCCCACCAGCTCTTGTGAAAATAGCTTTAGCTGCTACATACTCCACAATAGTTTCTTGACACAAGGCAGTTAGCATACAGTGGGTTATCAGAGCTTCTTTATTTTCCTTTTTTATGCTGAAAACTGTTGCCTTAAAGATCACATGTAGTGTTTGTGCACAACTACCAATCTAATATATAAATATATATACATACATGTATATATAATAGAGTGTTTCAGATCATTATTATTTTCAGGAAAAAATGCATTGTTGCAATGAGAGAGCTAAGCTGACCCTACCTCATTCTCCTGAGCACTTCCCACCACATAGAAGAAGAGGTCTATACTGCCTTTATAGACAATGGTCATCCCCTCCAGGAATGCTATCTCATCTAGAAATAGAAGGAGAGAAGGAAGGGTTAGGGATGAAAGGTAAGACACAAACCTCTGTTTTTATTTAGGAAGACGATATAAGTGAGAGAAAAAACTGAGTTGGAAAGGAAAGAAAAGAAGAGTGAGAGAAGGACACAAGGAAAGGAGAGAGAAAACAGGGAGTGAAGAAATGCTAGACACAGAGGAGCAAAACAAAGGGATGATGAGGTGGGAGGGAGAGAGAGGGGATATAGTGTGACAGGTGGAGAAGAAAGAGGAGAAAAGGAAGAATGAAGGAGGAGTTTTGGACAAAAGGGGGAATATAGTGGGCTGGTGATAAAGAGGCCTCGGGTAAAGACTCAGGTATCAGCTGTGTGAAAATCAGAATCCCACTTCACCTAAAAAATACTTTTTCTGCAGTGGCACGAAAAGCATCAGAGAGCGTGTGGTTTCTCTGAACAGAGATATTAATGTGATTTTGGTTTAAAGGTTATAAAAGAGAAAAATTACGATAAGTCACTATTTCTATAGATTTTCAAGAACTGTGCTAACACCTCCATCAATAGGTCATGACCAAATATGGTTTAGCTCCTTGGTGGCTTGTGTGAAAACTGCTTGAGGCTCGTATCCTGTACTGCTGGGTCACTAGATGGTTGAATGGGAAGCAGATGACACAGGAGATGTGTGTGAGTGTCAGTGTTTAATGGCCGAATCAGGCCAGGTTTCAAATGGAAAAAATGAGGAGATAAAATCAGTTATTCTTCTACTATGTCAATTTTTGCCTTTCTTTTTCATCTTGCTGGAGGTAATATAGTTGCATAGGTGCAAACAATTCCCTATCTTGAGATCTGGAACAACTGGGGATAACAACATAAATTTCACCTCTAAACTTTAACTTTAAATTTTAAAGCTGTGCCGCTGAGAACAGTTTGGATGGATGGTTGAGAGAAAAACACAGAGAGGGGCTTACTGTCTGCTTTGTGTGTCTTGTTGAAAATGTTCCTCTCAAAGTTCTTCTGCTCCTTCATGGAGGGGTAGAGCTCAGGGTCATAATACTGGAACAGAAACATATACGAGTGAAGTTACTCTGGCTCCTTTCATGTGTTTTCAAACTTTTGGGGCTACGAGTACATGGCACCGCAAGGAGGTGTGACTAATCAATTTAGTAGGGACCATACCATTTTAAGTCTTCTTTCTAGAGATTCACTGTAAGCTATTAGGATACCACATACAGAAAAATATTATAAATTATCAAATATTATGCTTATTTAAATCACATTATTGATTCATTAAATTGCACAAGCATGTCAGTTGTCAAGTGTGCACAAGAGTTCTCTTAAAGGGATAGTTCACCAAAAATTTTAATTCACTCATTATCTACGCACCACTATGCCCATGGAGGGGTGGGTGAAGTGTTTGAGTCCACCAAACACTTTTGGTTTCGGGGGTAAACTTTGCTGCAGCCGAATCCGATACAATTGAAGTAACTGGCGACTTATACTTCAGACGTAATAAAACAACAGAAAAAACATAACATGCCTCCAAACTGCTCATGTGGTGTCATCCAAGTGTCAGCAAGCCCTGACATGTGTGTTTTGTGGACTCATACACCTCACCCACCCCTCAGTCAGCATAGTGGTGAGTAAATGATGAGTGAATTTTCATTTTCGGTAAACTGTAAGTGAGCGTAGATTGTGTTCTTGAATAAGAACAAATCCCAGGTAAGAAAACTTTGGTGAATGTTAGAATCTCAAAAAGTGGATTTCAAGAAGAGATTTCTTGGAACAGTTGGTGAATGAGGCCCATTGTTAATACAAGTACATCAATTTAGAATGGTAAAGAAATAGTAACGCCATTAGTGTTAAGGTTGGAAAAAGTTAATCCACACCTTCCAGCCAATCAGAGTCCAGACTATTCAGCAGTCACAACATATCATCTGGTAATTTGCAGTAAATGGGCTTGAGATCACTGCCCTTTAAATTTACCTTTGACAGAAGTCTGTTGCCATCATTGTCAAGAATGAAAACAGCTTTCACTGTGTAGAGGGAAGGTTCCTGCAATAATACAAGACAGAACATCTTAAATATTTCAGCTTTGCTGAGTCACTTCAGGCAGATATGTAGGACATAATGCCACAGTCAGCCAGTCCTCCCACACCTGGTCACAGTGTTGTTTCAACCTATATTGTCAAGATAAACACTGATACACCAGCTACACCCTGCTTTGCAATCACTCTGGGCCACACAACAAACAACCCGCTGACCAGTCCAACCAGTTTATACACTTAACACCAGGCTACATTCACAGTTTCTTCCATTTTGGAATGCTTCTAGGATTTAGTTCAGGCTGGGTTCATATTTCCTTGCGAAGTGTTTTCAGACCCGGGACAAAGTTCTGTTATGCACTGACTAGCATAGATTCACAGTCAGAGTGTATCACAGAACTTAGTCCAGGAACTTACTACATCCAGAATCCAATATTACCACAGTAGTTTTAGTTACATAAACTGAACTTGAAGGGAAGATGAACTTTAGAGCTTTGTTTAAGAAAGTCAGTCATGAAAATGTATTTATTAATGGTGATCATAACCACATGTCTAGAGGTACATTCAATTCCATTGTCTGTCATCCTTCAGGTTGTCTTAAGACTGGTGCGTTGCTGATGTATCAGAAGACTAGTCAGCTGTTATACTTTTTTTATTAAAAGCTACCATTTTAAAGGTGGGAAATATGAATATTACTACAATTCCAGGACAACTGACAAAGTATATGTGCTGATGAAGCTCTTGCAATATAATACATCTTCAGAAAGGCTAAACAATGAAATTAAATGAAAATATTCAAAAAAAGATTGCTTTGCAAAGGTTTGCCTAGGAAATGCATTACAATTTACTGTCTTGGGTGCAGATCTATGTTAACACCATTTAAAGAATCACTTCCTCTGTAGCAATTATTCTTCAAAGTAAAAGCACAATGTTTGTTTTGTTCTTGTAATAGTTTATAAAGAACTAAATTATAGAGCTTTAATTTTGAAAACTTGAGAAATAGGTTCTGAAGATTGTATCGATTGCTTAACAGACCTTTGAACTAGCCGACATGCAATGTATGAAAAAATAACAGCAGTCAAGTCAAACATTCCAACTTGTACAAGCCACACACATGAACATTAATGAAACAAATTCAGCTTCATTTCATGAAACACATTCAAAATGTCATCAGTGCAGAAGGTTGATCATTGGAGCACAACAACTTCACTGCAGATAAACCAGGTAGGATGAACACAAAGTCTATAAAAAGCTCTGCACACAAACAGCCCATTCCAAAAAGGCAGGTTTAGAACAGGCTCTGCACTAGTTTAGGAAAACAAGTCAAGTTAGTCCTTCAAGCTAAACAGCTGGCTGTACCAGTTGCAGGAACATAGTGGATTATAGTGGAGTAATTTACCCCCGACAGCAGTGTGACAGTGTGGAGCGCACACTGTGCAGCAACTTCAACAAAAACAAGAAAAAATAATGAGAGAGAAAGAATAAATGCTCTACTTGAACAATTTCTGTCAGCTGAGGGGTAAACAAGTGATAATTCAAACCTTCACCTTCGAAGGGGCAGATGAACAATTTTAACTTGTGCTCTTATGAGATGGGGCCTGCATCCCATAACTTTTTCTATTTGTTAAACAGAATTTAAATGAAGTGTCAGTCAGGTCAGATATTTCCCTCTAACTGCTTTGTATATTAGAAAACTAGTTTCTAGTTTTGTGAGAATGAGAGTTTGTGTGATGCAACCTGTTAAATTTATGACACATTCATTCCCACTTTGTAAACATATGAACAAGACAAAGATGAAACTTCTTTTTTTTTTTTTAAACTGCCGGCACAACCATCTGCTGATCCAGGGGTAGCAGCTCTGTACATTAGATGACAGATGATGACAAACACACCATGGGCATATACAGTTTAACAGCAAATGTACAAACTTAATGTCTATTGTAAAGGGAGAGGGCTTATTCGACTCAGTATTGTAAGTGACTCTGCATCAACATGACAGCTAATTTCCAAAACTGTCTGTTTGGTTAAAACATAATGACAGATTTTGTCTGATGTGCGTGTTTAAATAGGTCATGGATTCAGACTAAACCAGAAGACTGGTTTAGCAGTCTGGAGTCTGTTCCCTGAAAAAAAAAAAAATACATAAAAGACTGCAGCCTCATGCAATTTGGCCTTTGCTATATTTCTAGACTGCTATTTTCATTTACTTTTTCATTTTTACCACATTATGGGCATGATACACTGTACATACAAGACGTTCTAGCCATTTAGATGGTTTAATAATACAGAATTACTGGCAGTGACCGATTTATGGGAAAAATCAGGGAGAGGCAGTATTCTTTCAGAGCAAATATGGCACAGCAAAACATCTTAAAGGACAACTTAGTGAGATTTAAGGGCCTTTTAGGTGACTTTTGTAACCTAGATACAGAGCCAGGCTAACTGCCTCCCCCTTTTCCAGTTTTCCTAAGCTAGCTGTCGTCTTATATTGGTTGAAGATTAGACACTTGTGTCAATCTTCTCTTCTACCTGGGAAACAAAAGTCATTGCTCATGTGGACTACATGTGATATGAAGCTGAACCTTGTAAAACGAAGTTGGTTTTGATCTGAATCAATTATCTTACTTTTTGGTATCAAAGTAAAAGGGCTCATTATGCACAATGCAGCTCCTTCAACAGTGTTATATTATTATTCAGCAAAAGTACTGATTGACTTGTACCGCTGACACCTGCTCTTGTGATAAACCTAGTGAACACTAACTGAACTGCTGTGAACTGTTGACTATTAAACAATTGTGTCAGGGTATTAACATAAACTGTTAAGT